TTTTAATATTTAACAGTGTATGCGATCGGCTGTTGCGATTAACTGTAAAACTGTATGCTGAAACGAATTTCGTGGATGTTAAATTACCATAGATATTAGCGCAGACGTATTTCTGTTTTCAGGGTAGACATACCAGGAAGGAAGAATTGTAGGAAGAAGTTCAATGAAATTTTCTTTCTCCAGAGATGAAGAGTAAATTCGTACAAATTCTTCCTGAATCGTTGTAATTTTGATCAACATTTAAATCTCGAGTCTTTTATTGTCTACGTCGATTTTATTACTTATCTTTAGTACTTTCTCTTGTCTACGTTCGCTTTATCACTTATCTTTATTACTTCCTCTTTTCTCAGGCCAAATATCGAAACTGGAAGACTCACCTCGCGGGTGTCGCGTCACCGGAACGAGAACTGCCTCGAGAGATCTTCGAGGAGGAAGATCTGTGTCTCGCTACACGTAATCCTCCAAGAAGATACTACAGTTTTAGAAATAAACTCTTCAATCGTCGATCTAAGTAACTTCGTCGTTCGGCAGGCGATTTAGCAGACACGCCGAGGATCCGTCGCGGTGTTCCATCGCGGAGAAAGTCATCAACAATGACGACGGCTGCCATCGTCTTCGACCACCACCACCACCACCACTACCACCACCGTTCTCGCCATCGCCGCCGTTGTCGTCGTCGTCGTCGTCATTTGGTGTTGTATTCACCGGGACGGAAAAAGAGAAGAGAAGAGGAGGGAAGGAAAGGAGGGAAAAAAGCGTCGCTGGAGAAACAATTAATTTGTACGCGAAACACGTACGCGCGGACACGCACACGCGAACGACCGCCGCGATGGAACGCGCCTACGCGCGTTCTCCACCTTCTCCATCCGGTGTACGGAATATTCGGCTGCCAATCACGGCGGCCGCGGATATAAATATAAATGCCCCGGGGTGTACTCTTCTTCTGCCGGTACGGGTCGTTTAATTAGAAAAATTCGCCGATAGGTTTTTCGCAAGTCCGGCCGCAGCCGGCGGGTGCGAGATGAAACGAGGAAACGTCGATGAGCGTTTGGGAACGGCTTTCGGGCGTATTTTTAGGCTGCGGGAGGCGTTTTACGCGGTCATTTCGCGCGTATTGCTCGCGAGCGTCGTTAAATCTTTATCGCCTCTCGTAGGCGCGCGACGCGCCGCGGGAAACGATAAAGATTAAACGGAAACAATCGGAACAGGTTGTTTCCAACTGCGAACAGCGGCGCGAACATACCAAGAAGGCAAGGTGGAAATGGGGAGTAGTTGGTGGTCTCGAAAGCGAGACTTCCCAAAGTCGCTACACTGTTAATTTCGTAGTTAAATTATACTCAATTTGAATCATTTTTAACCATTCCTATAAGTCCCACTGTTTCTACTCAATATGTTAATTTAACTAAAACAATGTTAATTTAACTAAACCAATGAAGTTAAAATAATAAATTTCAGCACACATGATGGTTAAAAATAACGAAATGTTATTTAATTCAAGGTATTGATTTAAATTTCATCCTTTAATATTTAACAGTTTACGACGACTTTTGCAAATATACAAATATAAAAAGCCAATTTCTCCGACAAATGTAATGGACACTGTGGAAATTATTACATCTTACCCTGATGAAAAAATTTCTCTATTTCTATTTCGGATTTATGAAAAATTCTGAAAAAATATGTAAAATTTCTTAGATGCTTTCAGAAATAATTGGATGAGGATTTTCAGAATATTTCAATATCTGTGTATGAAAATTTCTGATAAATTGCGCGGATTCTCTCATATTTATTCAGTGTTCTACAAAAATCAGGAATAATCTGAAATATTTCATTATTATTTTGCCTGAATTTTTCTTAAAAACATTTCAATTCATGTAAAAAAAATCTGAAAAATTCTGATAAAGTATTAAAATTTTTACAAAAACTCCAATTAATAATATAAAAAGTTCTGAGATATTTTTCCACCAGGGTAATGGTGTGTAATCGATTAATAGCGAGAGAAAAAAGATGGATTCGGAATCGCTTTTCCAGATTCGTCATTTCCCACAGCGGAACAATGCGCAACATTGACGGGCAAGGAGGAACGGCGTATAGCAGGGCAGAGATCTCGGTAGAAGTAGGCCGTGCAAATGAGGTGGACTCTGTGGAACGCGTTTTACTATAACCGAGGCAACCAGCCGCGTGTTAATTGCAGAACAAGCGGCTACAGTTTTGTAGGGCGCGACGGACGCATCGACGCGGAGGTTCGAACGCGAGCGGAGAACACATATATACGAAAGGACAAAGGGAGATCTCGCGATGATCGGGAACTTAGAATCGGGAACGAGGACATCGCGCGAGAGACGTCCCGATTTTCTCCCCCGTGATCGACGTCGATCGGTTGCTCGGACGGAAAGGTACGTCCTGGCCGGCCGTTATTAGCGCGCTAATAATTAACGGGGGCGGTAATTAACTCCAGTTGAGACTTAAGTGATAACACGACACACCTGCGGTCAACAAGTCGTTTTACAGGGCGCTCATAATTGCGCGGTGTCTCTAATTAGCGAAACGCCGACGGAAAAACTTCCACGCTGCCTCGATCGGCTCCTCCGCGTTTCTTCTACGAGGTCCACGACGTATCTCCTAGGAATAGAATACAGGAATCTCACTCTGTTCATATTATGACGAAATTAAATCCAAATTAAACAGTCCGACGGGAAGAACGCCGCCTCTTCGTTAGACGGGACGCCGCACCGTGATCGAGGAAAACGTCGCGAAAATTACGAAGTCACTCCGCGATTTACGTGAGTCATTTGATGGACCTCTAGAAACGATTCGTAGAACGACACCTCGTCCGATCAAACGTGCGGATTAACGAAGAGATTATCGGACCAATTTTGATCGCTAGATACCAATTAGCGACTTGGTCCTCCTCGAGCACCACACCCCGAGCGCGGCGGTACCAATTGACACCTCCGTTTAATTCGCGCACGCGAATCGGTCGCGATAAGCCGACGCGGCTCGCGCAACAAGACGCAAGCCGGGCGCGAGTGCGCTTATGTAACATTTTTATCGTTTTTGCCGGAACATTCAAAACGACGGGCCTCGCGACAGCTTGGTCGCCTCAGCGGGGGATCATTTCTATCGCCGAGATCGAGAGTCGCCTCTCTGAGATTCCCAACTCGAGTCCCGCGATCGCGGCGAATCAATTAGATGTTATAACTAGGCAAAACTCGCAATTGCAAAGGATTGAAAGAGAGTTCGTTCGCATCTCAAGGCGAATTCCTTTTTACTCTTTTCTTTTAATCGCGGGAGAGACTCGGTATTGAAAAAGTCTCTCCTTTATCGCGACGGTACCACGCCCGAGGCTCCGCGGCTTATCGCGATCGGGCACAACATGGGGAAATCAAACGTCTCGTGATACCGCAATAACACTGTCGGCATATGTTTGTAAATCCGCACAAACGCCCGATACTCCTCGGGATCTGACAAGGAATGCGTTCGATGTCGATCGAGAACGGCCGGTTTTCTGCGAAAACAGTGGACGAGAATGGATCCCAAGTGGAAGCCGTGCTTTAACGCTACAAATACGTCCTGAGTTATGAATACTTGATTGTTTTGAAAGAGAAAGAAAGATTTCACGTAGAGAGAGAACAGTTTTACTTACCCGAGGATCTGAAGCTCGATTTTTTTTTAGGGCACACATTCGCGAATTTCTCGAATTAATCTGTCGGAACGTTCCTCCTGCTCGCGAGTAATATTCCTCTAGATAATATTCATCTAATTCGACCTATACCACACCTTGCGAGACCCGTGATTTTTGAGAACCCACGTCTCTCCCGCCGGCAACGCACACGGGTCGCAAATCGCGACGCGCAATCACAATCGTGTGCCGAGCACGACGCGCGACGCGGGGATCAGTGCGACGGCACGACGGCCGCGGATCGTTTTAACTAGGAAATCGTTCTCGCCTTACAGGATGCCGGTGCGTCAATATTGACACATTTCTTACGAAACGCGAGAGAACCGGGCTTTCGCCCGTCCTCTATCTCCGGTCCTCCTCTATCTGATTGTGAGGAATGCCGAAAAACCCCGGTGCACAGACTCCCGACGAATGAATTCTTCCCTCACAATTCCTCGATAAGATGTCTCGAAAACGTATTGATAATTATAATTAAGTAGAATATATATATATATATATATTG